TCCATCTTCACTCATTCCTCTGATGAAACCTTCTGTTTTAATTTTTGACAATAGCAGCTCCTTTTTACAGGCCTCTCAGGTCCCAGCATATGCAAAATAATACTGTCTATTTACTTGCATGTACAGACAAGCACTTTCACATCCATTCATTTTTCTTGTCATCAGACCCTGTCCTCTTGCTCTGTGCAATCCTGCTGCTTCTTTATAGAGGATGCTGCCTTTGCAGTTCCTTGTGCCTGGATCAGCTGTGTTCTATGTTTTTGTCTCTGTTTTTTTCAAAACTACATCTGGAAAAATATTTTTCTTCTCTCCTTAACCCTTTCCTCACGCAGCTTAAACTTTGCAGCTGTATATTTTAATTTGTGTATGGTTAGAGGGCGACTCCTTTGGAGGAAAGACACTATGCAAAGTGATGTATTCATCAGTAAAAGGGTATGGCCAGGTACCCAGGGCACAGGAACAATGGTGAATTTCAGTTGCTGCTGTGCTGCTGTCATGATCGTAATTACACTTTTTAAGCAAAAAAAAAAATGCTTTTACATGTGCACTTTGTAAACAAACACAAGCAAATGAAAGGGTTTCTGAAAACAGATGATCAGTTTTCTTTGACCACTGTTCTCTTCTACTTTTTGGCAGGACTCAAGGTAGGTTGTATAGAATTGAAGACTGTATAGGCAGAAAAGGTCATTTGGCCAGTCATGTAGAGCGAGTACAGATCTCATGACAGTGTGTGCAAAGTATTTGTTGGCATAGTGGGGGAATGGTGGGATTGTGGGCATGGGAAGCAGGTGAAATGGTGGGATTGTGCGTGGCAATGAGGAGAGGTAGTTGAATGAACAGGAAATGAACTGTTGGAATATTGCATATGTCCTGAAATGCTGACATGAGCAAACACGAGGTCTAATACCTGCCCCCCGCCTCAAAGTTGGAAAACCTCCACAAATGTACTTCACAGAGATGCCTCTGTGATATTTTTTGTTGGGGGTATAGTTTGCACATTCCTCTCCCTAAAGGATAGGCCACAGGGGACATCCACAAGCTCCTGAATTTTTGGGAACCAAAGGGAGTCCCAGGTCTTCTAACTTCTCACAGTCTCTGAGGATCCTCCATTTCTCTCCCTCAAAGACAGTTCCAAGACAGCAATGATGCGAAAGCTTCTGTAACTGGCAGATGTCCAAAGGTTCTTTTTTAAATGGAGCTCCACCACCAGTGTCATGCCCAGGCTGCACTGCATTTTTCTTTTGGGTTATGCTAGGCATGGGTAGAGGAGGATGAGATGAAAACATTACCAAGGACCTTGCCTCAGTCTGCCAACTCCTTTACCAACCCAACTATAGTGGGCCCATATCCTGGGTAGGTTGCTGCATGGTTGGTGCCTATACAAAGTATGGCTCTAGTAATTTAAATGATTTTGTCTTACAAACAGTATTGAAAAAAACTGATACATATTTACATAGGACAAAAAGTAATGATCAGTATTTAAATAGTTCATACTCCTGTATCTTCAGAACAGATTTATACCAAATCAAATTTAGATTTTGTTCTTTTTAAAATTTTGTGGATTTATTTTTTCATTTTAAACTAAAGTTTTTGGGCTTAGTTGTTATGCTAAAATATGCCACTTCTCTTCTTCCTCATTGTTTATGAAACAGGTTGATGGTATCCCGACAATAAGGAATGAAATATATATTTTTTCAGCAGCATCACCTGTCTTGAAGTGATGTCCTTGGCATCATCTTGGCAGTCTTCAGGCAACTGAAAGGGTGGCTTTCAAGTGGTTCTAAGGAGTTTGTTACATTAGTCAGCTAGTTAGCTGGACTACCTGTCTTTATGATTCTCAAAATCCTTTCTCTTTAACAGAGTGTTTATTAGAAGTATTTTTTTGTTTATGTCACCTAATATATCATACAAAAACACATTTTGGAAGAGAGGCATATATTGCTTTTGTATTCTTAATGTATTTTTACTGAAAAAATGAGTATATTATGCCACTAACATTTTAGATGTATACTCACATAACTTCTTGGGTAGATTAGGTTTTTGGTTTATTTTTAATTAATGAATTGTGATACATACTCTGACAGAGTTATGTTGAAACCATAGCTCTACATATATATTTATGACTGCTTTACCTTGGAGCTGTATGTAGCTGCCATGGATTATATAAATTACGAATGTATGATTTGTGTGTATATGCACACCTAAACTAAATATTTTTCAAAATGGTTATTTGAAAAATAAACCATTGAAAATTAATTCTGTAATAATCTCTTTAAAATATTTGTAGTCCTAATTTATTTATGAAAGGAGTATTCACATTTTATGTAAAATCAATTGTACAATGTAAAAATAGTACTTTCAACACCTATTAGAGTGTGCATGAATGGTTGACCAGTTCAAAAAATGTATCTAGTCACGAAGATTATTTAGGTATTAACATAGAAGACACAGGCAGTGTAATGATGACATGACTACACATAATTCATGAAAATTCATGTTATATGTAACCTAATATGCAATCTCTTTCTTAATATGAAAAGCTTTTATTGATGGATAGTAAATTAAAAGCTAAGTTAGGTCCTTGAAATACAATAGCCATATGTTGCCATGGTGCTGTAAGCCAAGTTAAATGTTAAAGATAAGAGTGGATGTGCATAGCAAGAAGACATAGAAAAGCCTTATTTTAAGAATCTAATAGGTCATTTGAATTTAATGCAGTTGTATTCATTTTCAACATCTTAAAATAGCATAGCTTGGCTGTCATGTAATTTTTGTTCTTGTTATTCAATAATTTCTTATTTCAGTATTGTGATTAATGTCAAATATAGCAGAAGGCTAATACATTTCTAATAATGTAATTCTTGAATATGTCAGCTAATCATGTTTTTTGAATTAAGATGCAGTTAGCTACTGAACGCAAACAGGATGACACACAATACTTCCCAGTTAACTATATATACATTATAACATTTGTATTTAAAGTCATCAAAATGTTATTTTTTCAAATGCATGACAGCACATCCTAATTTTGCTTTGGTAACAAATCAAGTTGCATTTTCAATTAATTGTGTAAAAATATTTTTAAAAAATGTATATAGCTCTATTTGATATAACCATGTTATACTTATATAAACAGGACAAAATACTGTTTAATTAGGGTGGTTGGTAAAAATTTGGTACTTTGGCTTTCTCCGTTGTTGTTAGCCATGCATAAAATGCTTGCCTATTGATCAGTGCAAAATAACCAGGGCTTAAACAGCTGACATCTGCTTACTTTAAAAAAAACCCCCACACAGAATAACAAACCATCTCAGCCTAATCTACCTCAAATGTGTGCATGTAAATGGGGGTCCATCTATTGACCTGTATTCTTTTCAGTTGTGGATTGGTCCACATGGTTTATGAAACCAGGAGGGCTGATTTGAAATGCAGATGTCGAGACAGTGAAGTACACCCTCCCCTTTTTTCTTTGCTGTATCTGTCAGGGTGAAAAATGGCTTGCACAAGGGTCAGTCACCCATACTCACTTAATTACTTTTCTTGGACCTACAGAACTGTCACAGGCTGTGGTGGATGCAGGAGCTGTTCCTCTTTTAGTACTCTGCATCCTGGAGCCAGAAATTGCTTTGAAAAGGATTGCTGCTTCAGCCCTCAGTGATATTTCAAAGCATTCTCCAGAGTTAGCACAGACGGTAGTAGATGCAGGGGCTATTGCCCACTTAGCTCAGATGATCCTGAACCCTGATGCTAAACTGAAGGTACTTTTAAAAATATTTTTTTCCAAATTGCACTAGACATTATTTGTTACTAAGTCCGGACCATTGATGCATGTATTTCTTATTCAGAAGGGATTGTTTAAGCCTTAACAAAATATAGCTATGCAATTAACAAAGAGTTCTGACTGTTTTGTATGTGGTTATCATATGTATAGGAGCACTAACTCTTCAGAAAGGAACAGTTAAAAACTAGTCTTTTAAATTAATAACACTTGTTTACTAGACCAGCATTGCTTAGAGAAGATCATGTAGCAATATTTTAAGGAATAAATTCAGTCTTCTACATAAACCAGTCAGTTTACTTAAAGCATTTGTTAGATATGAGTGATCTAGTTCTGAGGAAGTCAAGTTATACATTTCTCATTATATTATGAAAACATTTTAATTTAACAATGTATTTGAGAACACATTAAATCTCTGATTAAAACAGGTCGTGTTTAAGATTTTATATTTATAATCTAGTTCACAAAAATATATTTCTATTTCTGTGTGCAGTTTTACTGTCTTATTTTAATAGCCATAAGTAAGACAAATACTACTATTAATGAATATATATAAGCACTTAGATGGAAATTTGTGGGATTTTTTTGTAGACTTTATTTTCTTTTAATTTGTAGTATTAAATTAGCATTTCTTTTATAAGCAAACTTGAATGGCATAAGCAAATAAAAACTTTTATTTGGGAACCAGTGAAAACTCAGTTATTAGATGGGTACGTGAATTGACACAGTGAATTGTATAATAGCTATGACTAGGTATTTTCTGGTTTTGCTTTGTTTTTCTTGATGTAACATTTTGTGTACATGATGAACATGGGTTGCAGGGTGTTTGCATAGCATTTATTTACAAACCAATTTTTGTTTACCAGCGTCAGGTGCTTTCAGCTCTAAGCCAAATAGCAAAGCATTCTGTGGATCTTGCAGAAATGGTGGTTGAAGCAGAAATTTTCCCAGTTGTACTCACATGCCTGAAGGACTCGGATGAATATGTTAAGAAAAATGCTGCAACTTTAATTAGAGAGATAGCAAAGCATACGCCTGAGGTAAAACCTTGAAAATGCAAATACAAGGTCACATCATTAGATTTTACACTTTAAATAAAATAGAGTATTATTCTGTCATTTCCTTTCAGAAAGAGAGGGCAAAAAGCACTATCAGGTTTCCTTTGGAAAAATATGGAAATGTTGGCTCATGTTCCGAGATGTGAATTGAATAAGAATTGGATTAGAAAAGAAGGAGCAATATATTTACTTAGCTTTTATTTACCAGCAGGTGTCAGTGCAGTGAATGGGTATTATGTTAACAATATCATCTGCCCCAAATATTAAAAATCCTAAGTCAAGCCCTCCCTCCCCCAAATCATGAGACTGACTTAAAAATCATGTGATTTAAGAACAATATTACATTTAGTATGTTTCAAAATTTTCTTGGGGATTATCAAGCCTTTAGGTCATATTTTAATGGTTTTCCCCAAAACTGTGATGACCAGAATGTTTTTTAAATAGCAGTTTGAGTCTCATATAATCACAAGTCTATGAATTAGGGTTTGAAAGAAACAAAACAAATATTTCAAGACTTGTTGTTAAGTCATGAGAATTGGCAACATCACATTGTAGCTTTCTAGAGACATGGGAGGTGTTTGCCAAGACAAGTATGAACTGAATAGGTTAAGCTTATAAATATTTATATGGACTTGGATCCTTCAGAGCATAAAATTTGCATAAAAGCTTTTTAAAATGTGATGCTGTAATGTAATAAAAACTATTTAACATTAAAATGTGTCTATTTATGGAAGCCAATATTGGCAACCTTAGTCATACAAAAATTGTGTAAGTGAATTTAAAATCACAAGAGACATAAATCTGAGGTCTTTTTCTCTGCCTTCTGGCCATTGAGCCTTTTGGTTACACCTGGGTCACATTTTTTTGCTTCTTTCTGTGCCCAGAGGGCTTAAGATCTTACTTAAAAAAAAATGAAAACTTGAGATTGTCAACTCCAGGAGTCATAGCTAGAAGCAAAAGGTCAAGGCTTAAGATAACATTTTGATAGTTTAGCAATACTGGGTTCCTTTGTGAATGATTGTAACAACTGCTCTAAGTAGGCTTTAAAAAGCCTCCTAATGAATCTCACTCAGATTAGAAAGTCATAATCTACATGTTTGACTTCAGAATGATGGATATTGAGCCAGATTTATCTTCCAGTAACTCTACCAAAGAAACATGTCTTACAGTAGAGATAAATCCTCCCCACTGACTTTTCTGGAAAAGCCAGATATGACAGTCTCATGAGGAAGTTGTCCCCATTGTCCCCCTTTGTGCAGACACAATGGGATTGGTGCAGGGGTCAGAATGTGGGGAGTTGATGCATGTCCCCAACCCCCTCTGAGCTGTGGAGTGCATCTCCACAGGAGTCCCCTGCATCTGTATTCTCATGCTTATTGTGGTGAAAAAAGGCGAGAGAGCCTGCAGTATCAGTCCTGGAGTGACGCTGCTGCTGCCCTACAACCTGAGGGGAGGGTTCTCCTTTCCCTCTTTCCTCTGCTCCAAGATTTGAGCCTAACTGACCGCATCCAAAAGCCCTGTAAAGAGCTCATATTTTTAAAGTAATAATTTTAAAGGTTGAATAACTAGCTGTTGCATTAATAATAATAGTCCTGTGTTTTAAACATTTTAGAACTTCAAGGCAAACACAGACTTAAGTTTAACAAATGTTTATGTACTGTTTTGGGAAATCTGGAGACAACTTAAATGCAGAGGGAAATACCTTTCATGTAAACAGAATTGATTTAATCTTCAGGCACTGATGATGTCAGAAACCATGCAAATACTGTTCTCAAAGTAATGTTTGAAATTATATCATTTGGAAAAAATGTGAATGAGAGTTTAATCTCTGGTAGGCATTAGGATCCTAGGCCTGCCTGGTTATAACTTATACCAAGACTGCTCAGAAAAAATTAGATGCACCTATTTTAAGGCTTCTTTTCACTGCCAGAATGGTATAATTGGGATTTAGCATAAAATAATCTGGTTCTATATGTAAATTTCTACAGGTCATTAACATTTTAAGCTTTCATTTTTGTAGTTCTTGAGTAAATACTAATAGAGTTTGGAATACAAAAGTCTATAACATTTAAAAAACAGCTTTCCTAGCAGGAAAGTAAATAGAAAATAGTAGTTAATGGCCACATGAATGTTTTGCTACATTTTTGTTATACCCATAAGGCCAAATAATGTACCTGATTAATTATTTTATTCCAGTTTTACACTAGTATAATTTGATTAGCAACAGTAGTATTGTGCCTGTTTATAAAAACAGAAGTGATACATTTAAAGATTGATGGAATATATTATTTTATGCTTATAGCTACTCTACGGTGTTTAATCACTCTAGTTCATCTTTTTATTTCCAGCTTTCACAGCTTATAGTTAATGCAGGAGGAATTGCTGCTGTGATTGATTGTGTTGGCAACTGCAAAGGAAATGTCAGGCTGCCTGGCATCATGATGCTTGGTTATGTAGCAGCTCATTCAGAGAATCTGGCAATGGCAGTGATCATCTCCAAGGTTAGCTCTTCCTTTGTTTTCTTCCCATAACCATTACAATGAGATTCTGAGGAGACACCAATTAATAGACCCCACAGACTTCTGGATAGAGTGGTATAGTTCTCTGTTTTGTGTGTTCCTTGATCCTGATCCTGCTAACATTTTGGCTTGTGCATGACATTAAGCATGGGAGTAACTCCCCTGACAGCAACATCTGGGTCTTTAGTTGTAGTTAAATATTTATAAAGGGATAATTTTGGAGGAAACAGTAAATCTAGACAAATATTCTATTTCACATTTGGCAGTACCATTGCACTTTGCTAATTAAAGGTAGCCATTCCTTTCTATAATTTATAAACAGATGCCTATTTCATTACATATTGTTAATTTATTATTTGTACCTTTATAAAAAACAACCCAAAGTACAAATAAATTTTTAATGTATAGTTTTGATACATAATGATATATTTAGTTATGAGGGCATCTTTTGTAATATTACTCATTCTGTCTGACATGACAGTCTGGTAAGATGGAGTCCTTGATGAGTTATTGCTTTCATAAATATAGCTATGGATTAATTTGCTAGCATAATTTTCAACAGATGTGAGGTCTTTCCGTGTTGCACTAGTATAAACAGGAAAAATAAATTAATGAATTTGTATGGCTTGTTTCTGAATGTTTGTGGCCATAATGCAGCAGTCCCTTTTTAAACAAGGATCCTTAAACATGCAGATCCTTAATTAACACCAGCATATCTACAGTGCCATAACTATGATACACTTAAAACTAAAATTCTCATGCTTACACCAAAGCTTAGTTCCTGAAACACAGTGTTGTTTGATGCAGTCATGCAAATTCTTGATGAGATAACTTGATGTTTGTAAATTTTGAGATGGGAGAGGAATTACCATATAAACAAGAGGCAGTAGAAGAATCGTCTATGTTTTTTAAAGATAATGGAGACAAACATGGCATTCTGATGTGGAAAATATTAACAACACAAAAGGCAGGACTATGGAAACAATCTAAGTGAAGATTCCAGCTTCTACATGTGTGGCCATAATCTGCATGTGTTAGTCATTCTTTGATTTAATATGTAAAAAACAAAAAAATTCTATTAAGGAAAAAATAGAATCAGTGTCAAATAATAATCATGCAGAAAAGGTAGAAGTCTTCAATAACTATGTAATGTTTTACATTTGGAAAACAGGATTAGGTGTTTATGTCAGATGAGGATGATATGTATTTTCCAGTCCATTAATAACTAAAGAGTATGTTAAACATCTGATCGAAATATATTTCTAAATCAGCAGGCCTGAATAGCTCACACCCAAGAGTCCTTAAGGAACTGGCTGAAGAGACCTCTGGCATGTGAAGTTTTTTATAAATCTTGCACTACTGAAGAAAATGCAAAAGACTGAAAGCCTGCATGATTTGTGTCCATATCTAAAAGACAAAAAGCAATAGCCCCAAATAACTGTAATCCAGTTAGCTCAATTTCAATCTTGGGCAAAATAAAGGAGAAACTGATGTGGGATTCAATTAATAAAGAATTAACTTAATGTGAATCATCATGGATTGATGTAAAATGTGATTTCATCCTTTGAAACAATTTTGACTGATAAAAATAACTGTAGATTGAATAGATTTGATATGGCCTGTTACTTAGCACTAGATTACCATTTGAAAACATTGACGCTCTATGGTATCAATGGAGCACACATTATCTGGGGAAAGAATTGGCTAGTGGATATTTAAAAAAAAAAGTCATTAGTGGACAGTCATCACCAAATGAGGGATTCCTAGTGGGGCTCCAAAATAATTTTTTGTAATATTATTAGTCACTGTCTGAAATGATGTGACATTCAGGCAGGTAAAGCCCTTGATGGGAGGTTTAGACCCATGGTATGGTAAACAGTGATCTGGAAGTAAATATGAAGTCACTGCGTTTAAAATTTGCAGATGATGCAAAATTGTTGGAATGGTAAATAATCATATGGAGAGGGCAATGTGCACTGTTTGGTAGAACAGACCCATTTAAAGATCCAAAGTTACACACTTTGAAACATGTAATGCAGGTCATGCCTGCAGAAAGAGAGTCTGTATCTTGGAGAGCAGTGATTCTGAAAAGGTTGTATAGATCACAGCAGATAAATCTCATGAGGTTCAATAAGAACAAGTACAAAGTCCTGCACTTAGGACAGCACAATCCCATGCACTGGTACAGGCTGAGGACTGACTGACTGGGCAGCAGCTCTGTAGAAGAGGACCTGGGGGTTACAGTGGACAATAAGCTGAATATGAGCCAGCAGTGTGCCCTTGTTGCAAAGAAGGCTAACGGCATACTGGGCTGCATTGGTAGGAGTGTTGCCAGCAGATTGAGGGAAGTGATTATTCCACTTTGTTCAGCACTGGTGAGGCCACATCTGGAGTACTGTGCTCAGTTTTGGGCCCCCCACTACAGAAAGGATGTGGACAAATTGGAGAGAGTCCAGTGGAGGGCAACAAAAATGGTTAGAGCGCTGGGGCACATGACTCATGAGGAGAGACTGAGGGAACTGGAGACTAGAAGTCTGGAAACAAGAAGACCAAGAGGGGATTTAATATCAGCCTTCAACTACTGGAAGGATGGTTCCAAAGAGGATGGAGCTAGACCAGGGCGGGCAGATCAGACCTGCAGCAGACTCCATTTCCCAGCAGCCCCTGTTGCTGTGGATGGTTTCCATGGAGACCCCAATGGCCGTGGCATTGTGACTGTGGAACCAGGGTTTCTATGGAGACTGGCCCCAGCAGTGCTGGCAGGGCACGTAGCTTAACAGAGAGTAGCTTCAGGGCTGGGATCTTGCAGTGGTGACATTGTGGTCCGGAGGCAGGGTAGACCCATGATCCGCTGCCCGCATACGCCAGGGAGGGGTGTGCAGGCAGCAGATGGTGGCTCTGCCCTGGCTCTAGACCATACTGTCACCACTGCAAGATCCCAGCCCCAACCCCATAGCAGCTTCCCTCCCAGCTGCATACCCTGCCAGCACTGGTGCGGCCGGTCTCCATGGAAATCCTGGCCCCACCCTGTAACAGCACCCTCCCTACTGGAGTCTCCATGGTAACCAGCAATGTGGGCAGGGGCTGCTGGGAAATGGAGTCTGGCTGCCAGCCAAATCTGCCATTTTGCCCATCGCTGAGCTAGGCTGTTCTCAGTGGTGGTAGATGACAGAACAAGGAACTATGGTCGCAAGTTGCAGCAGGGGAAGTTCAGGTTGGGTATTAGAAAGAACTTTCTCACTAGGAGGGTAGTAAAACACAGGAACAGGTGACCCAGAGATGTTGTTGACTCTCCATCCTTGGAGATTTTTAAGACCTGGCTAGACAAAGCTTTGGCTGGGATGATCCTGTTGAGACTGGTCCTGCTTTGAGCGGGGGGTTGGACTAAATGACTTCCTGAGGTCGT